TAAACCCGACACCCGAAAACCGAAACCCTAAACCCTAAACCCTAAACCCTTAACCCTAAACCCTAAACCCTAAACCCTAAACCCTAAACCCTGCCAACCAAGGCCTCCCGGCTCAAGTCTGGGCGCCGGATTGCAGCGGCCAAGGCCCTGGGAGGCCCGGAGGGCCTCCAAAACCCTGGACGGGCTTCTGGGTTGAGGGTTAAGCCCCTAAAACCCCTGAAGCCCCTAAAACCCCTAAAGCCCCTAAGGCCCCTAAAACCCCTAAAACCCTAAGACCCCTAAAACCCCTAACCCCCAAACCCCAAACCCCCCCCCCCCCCCCCCACGTCAGGAGTCAAAGCAGCCTAAACCCCAAACCCGAAACCCTAAACCCTGGACCCTAACCCTAAACCCTAAACCCTAACCCCACATCAGAAGTCCAACAGAAGTCAAAGCAGGCGAGGCCTCGTTGGCGCACGCCGCCTTTGCTGCGCTGCGCGGTGCTGCTGCACAGGGCCGCGTGACGGCCGTGGAGGCGGGCTGGGCGGGTTGATAGTAAGGCTGAAAGGGTTTAGGGTTCAGGGTTCAGGGTTTAGGGTTTAGGGTCTGGGGTTTAGGGTTTAGGGTTTCAGAGTAATTATACTTGGAGGTCCATGGTTCTTATGACCCATTCATGAGCCCCCTGGGTGCCCCAAAGATGGTTATAACATGGACATGACAGAGAGAAAACCCTAAACCCTAAACCCTAAACCCTAAAGACTAAAGCCTAAACCCTAAACCCTAAACCCTAAACCCTAAACCCTAAACCCCCGGAAAAGTCACCGGCCAGGAGCTCGCCAGCTCACAGCTTACGGGGCTCGTCGACTGGCAGGGCGACCGATGGCACAACAGGCTCCCTAAGCTCCTACGCCTAAACCCTAAACCCTAAACCCTAAACCCCAAACCCTAAACCCGAAACTCGGGCTCTTTAGGGTTGAGGGGTTCTATTTTTGGCGGGGCTTTTGGCGCCTTTGGGGGCGCGAGGTTTCGTTATAACTTGATCACATGTTGAGCCCCTCAATCCTTTAATGCGCGAGTGATGATAAGGAACTTTGCAAGGGTTTAGGGTTTAGGGTTTAGGGTTTAGGGTTTAGGGTTTAGGGTTCATGGTTTAGGATGATAAGGGGGCTTGGTTTTTTTTCCTAACGTTGGCCTTGGCTTGGTGTCCTTGGTAACGTTGGCCCCAGGTCTCCTGGTCCTCTGGTCCTCTGGCCTTCTGGTCCCGTGGTTTCCCGGTCCCGTGGTCAGATTTGTCTTGTTTTTATTGATGTATTTGTTTTGGTCTTCATGATAAAGGTATAGTTACTATGTAGTATAACATAAGAATATATATATATATATATATATATATATATATATGTATGTATACATACATACATACATACATATATATATATATATATATGTATATATATATATATATAAGGCAGCAACCTTTATGTATCATGTGGCGTTCCTGTCTGGGGACTATCTAAGATATCTAAACCAGAGGAGGTTTTTCCCGGAGAAGCAGGGACAAGAGCGCGACTGTCCTGCCGAAGCAGCCATGCCTACTACAGACTGTAGGAAAATATGCCCGAGAAAACCCAAAACATGAATGGGATTGACAGCGACCCGCTCCCCCCCAAGCTCCATTATTAGGGAGGTGATACACAAACCCAATCCCTTCCAAACAACAGCCATCAGGATTGGGAATCCTGGCATCGCTGGCAGTCCCAGGACATGGCTGATTGGTTTAGGGTTTTGGCTTCCTCATAAGCAAATCGATCTTTCGCGCCTATACCACTTGTCACAAAGACAATCAGCTTCCCGGAGAAGCAGGGACAAGAGCGCTACTGTCCTGCCGAAGCGGCCATGCCTAAAATGAATGGGATTGACAGCGACCCTCTCCCCCGCCAAGCTCCAGTATTAGGGAGGCGGTATACAAACCCAATCCCTTCCAAGCAACAGCCATCAGGATTGGGAATCCTGGCATCGCTGGCAGTCCCAGGACGAATTATAGAGTCACCAATGGCTGATTGGTTTACGATTTTGGCCCAGGAGATCCCAACGCCCAACCCCAGAGTGTCCCTGGAGTGCCCAACCCCAGAGTGCCTCAAGAAAGCGTATTTGAATCAATGTGTGTTTATTCGAAGTAAAATAATTGTTGTCGGTCGCCATACTGCTGACCAGCGACATTCAAGTCCACTGCCTTCTGGCGCTTGGCCTCTGGCTGGGCAGTGCCGCACTCCTTGTCACGTTGGGCATTCCAGGGAAACTCTGGCGTTGGGCACTCCAGGGACTCTGGCGTTGGGCATTCCAGGTAAATCAAACAACGCAACACCGAAGGTGAAGAAAAAGGCAAATCAAACATTTCTTGTGTCCCATTGGCAAGGCCTTGCCAGCCGATGCCAAAGCAACCATAGTTGGCACGATGCAGTGGTTGCAGGGCGCTCCGGCCGAGAATGAGTGGCGCAGAGTGATATCGCGCGTCTCGATGTGAAACAGCATTGAAGGTTGTTGGGAAACAAAGTCTCAGCATGCGATATCAGATTTTCTCAAACTCAGCCAAGGTTCACGCCCAACTTTATTTTTTTGGTTCAACACCCACACGGGTGAGTCGACTTTCGATCGGCCTCCTCTTGCGGGCAACACCCGTACCCGGCAGCTCCTAAACCCAACACCCTACTAAACTTGGAGGTTCATGGGTTGAATGTGGTAACTTTTCTTGAAACCTTCGGGTACTTACAACCCTATTTAGAACAACCTTCAAGTAGACCCTAAACCCTTTGGGAACCCGGACTCATTCAGACAGTTAGGGTGTCAGTGTGGGTTTTGTGGGTTTAGGGTTGACATCTGGCAAGGATGGTGTCGAACTACTACTCTGATGCGTCGAGCTGAGCGCCCTAAGCCCTAAATCCCCAACCCAACGTTTCTTGCGGTCATGCAGTTTTGAAAGCTTCTTGGCTGTCGAACTACTCGGCAGCCAAAGCTACTCTGATGCGTCGAGCTGAGCACCGCGAAACCCTGAAGCCCAGAGACAGCTGGAGCAGAGGCCCTAAACGCGAAATCCCCAACCCAACGTTTCTTGCGGTCACGCAGTGTTGACAGCTCTTGGCTGTCGAACTACTCGGCAGCCAAAGCTACTGTGATGCGTCGACGAGCGGCATCACATTGGCTCTTGTCCGAAGCTCTTGCTTTTCTTGGTAGGGGGGTTGGCTCCAGCTTTCCAACAGCAGGAAACACCGCGAAGCCCTGAAGAACCCTAGAGGCCCTAAACCCTAGATCCGCAACCCAAGTGTCCAGTTGCGGTCGTTCCTTGCGGTCATGCAGTTTTGACAGCCAAGCTACTCGGCAGCCAAAGCTATGAAGAAGAAAAAAAAGCATGCGGTACTCAAATGCAATCGCTGCTCGAGCAAGCTCTGGCTCTCTTGGTAGGGGGGTTGGCTCCAGCTCTCCAACAGCAGGAAACACCGCGAGACCCTGAGCCCTAGAGGCCCCAAACCCTAGATCCTCAACCCAAGTGTCCAGTTGCGGTCGTTTCTTGCCATCGTGCAGTCTTGACAGCCAAGCTACTCGGCAGCCAAAGCTATGAAAAAAAAGGCATTTAGTTCGAGGTTTAGGGTTCGAGGTTCAGGGTTTAGCATTCTGGGTTCATTAAGGGTTAGGCCCTGAGCCTAGACCCTAAACCCTAAACCCGATGAGTTCGACTATATGACTTTGTATATGTATATATATATATACATATACATATACATACATATGCTTTGCTAAATTTCATCATATTGTATGATATTATACGATATTATATAGTATTATATTACAGAAATTTATAATATGATATATTATAATATATTGTGTTATATGGTACTTTTTTATATTATATTACATTGAGCTATATTTTCTGTATATTTATGTTTCTATTTGTATTCAATTATATTGTATCATACCACAGTTTATTTTATTGTCATATGTTATTTGCTCATTTTATATTATATTACATTATATTATATATTCGCATATTATATATTTTTATATCACATTATGCTATGTATATATATATATATGTGAGAGGAACCTTTATGTATTATTAGGCATGTCCTCTTTGTTTGAATACTGTTCTATACTACTGAAGGTTTAGGGTTTAGGGTTTAGGGTCTAGGCTCAGGATTCATAGTACACAACACATACTTATATTGTTTTTTTGGAGCCGGGCAAGCTTGCTTCAAAGTGTATGAATCCCTTCCAAACTCATGATGCGAGCATTGTGTTTGAAAATGGGGGCGGTGGGGGGGGGTGCTGTCCCCCCCCCCCCCCACCAACCCCCCCGTTGTTTTTTTGTTTTTTTTTTAAGCCGGGCAAGCTTGCTTCAAAGCACATGAATCCTTTCCAAACCCATGATGCCAGCATTGTCTTCGCAAAAAACACATTACGACACAATAAGATACAAAAAGAGACAATGATACACACCTATGTACAACAACATACAATTTAGATACAAGAATATACAGTAATATACAAACAGAGGAAAAAAGTACTTACAATAATCTCCAATAATTCAAAAAAACAACAAGATACACAAACATACAATAATATGCAACAATATCCCAGAATATACCATAACATAAAATAGCCTACAAAAATATACCAATAACAAACAATAATTTACAACAATATGCAGTGATATACAAAAATATGCACTAATACACAATCATATGCAATAATGTTGAATAATATACAATAATATAGATACACAATCATATACAATAATATATAAGAAGATACAATCATACTAAATTATGCAAGTTTATTCAAGAACACACAAGAATATACGCAACAATACTTACTAATGTACAAGAGTATACAAGAATGAAAAAACTACAAGAATGTTCAATAATATTCAATATACAATTTCCATCATGTGGAGCCTGGCAGCAAGCACAAATGCCGCCATCAAGAGCATTTAGAGCTTTGGAACAACTATAAATGCCAGAATTTACAGCATTTGGAGCTCTGGAATACCCAGAAACGCTGTGTTTTTGAACGTTTTCGGCTTACAAGCAACCAGACATGCTGCATTTCATAGCATTTAAAGCCAGGAATGGCAGGGCCAACGTTAGCAAGGCAAACGAGCCAGGGCCAACGTTAGGGAAAATAACACCTCCGCGATGATAAGGAACTTTGCTGTTGGCATCTATGCCTCTTTAACCCTAAACAGCCTAGGTCTTAGAACTTCACCGCACAAACCCTAGCAGTGGAATCCTAAAAACCGAAAGCAGGAACCTGGGTGTCCAGCAAACACGAACTGGGACCCTGTAAGGAACGCCTAAATCCTGCACCTCCATGCGCTGTAAGTGCCTGCTAGGTTTGAAGAATCCATCTTGAAGAGGAACAGACTCTGTAGCTCTTAGAAAACCTAATCATATCCCCCTAAACCCTAAACCCTAAAACCCAAACCCCAAACCCCAAACCCTAGCAGGCTGCTGGCCTCCAAACTGTTTGCGGCCTGGCGGACGGCTCCTCGCCAGCTTGCCTACGAAAACATCGGGTGTAGGGTTTCGGGTTTAGGGTTTAGGATTTAGGGTTTAGGGTTTGGAGTTAGGGGTGTAGGGGTGTAGGGGTTTAGGGGTTTAGGGGTTTCGGGGTTTAGGGGTTTAGGGGTTTAGGGGTTTAGGAGTACTATACTTTAGCATTTTTTTGATGCTGGGTTCCTATTGTAGCTTCTTGTACCTCAAAAGTATATACTTTTTCCAGGTCTACTCCAAAGTAGGGAACCATTGGTGACACAGAGGTTCGGGTTTAGAGGCGTAGGGGTTAGGGATTTAGGGTTTTAGGGGTTTAGTTGCCTAAACCCTAAACCCTGAACCCTCAAGCCCCAAACCCAAGCCCTAAACCCTAAACTCGAAGCCCGAAAGCCCTAAGCCCGAAGACCCTAAGCCCTAAGCCCCAAGCCCTGTATAGGGAAGGTTTCCCTGCATGACCCCTCCCCGCCCGCAACTGTCGATGGTTTTCTTTCCGAACGAACCTCAAGCTAAGCTTCGAACCATGGGCCCGATGGTCCCTTAGCTTTGTTGAAAGGGGTTTCAAGCTTAGGGGGGGGTTTAGGGTTTAGGGTTTAGGGTTTAGGGTTTAGGGCTTAGGGTTTAGGGTTTAGGGTTTAGGGTTCGGGCTTTCGGTTTCCCGAAACCGCCCAAAAAAGCCCAAACCCAGAAGCCCCCCCACCCACCTCCAGAGCACCAAGCCCCAAACCCAAAGGCCACACACATGCACGCACGCACGCACGCACGCACGCGCACACGCACACACACGCACACGCACACGCACACACACACACACACACACACACACACACACACACACACACACACACCCTCCACCCCCAAAGCCCTGAACTGAACCCTAAACCCTAAACCCTAAACCCTAGACCCTAAACCCTAGAAGGCCCCCAGAAGCCCTCTAAACCTTATCAAGCCGATACATCCTGCAAACCCTCTGGGCCCTAAACACCCTGTAAGCCCATGTACTCTATAAGGCTAAAAAACTCTGTACAGTACACCCTAAATGAGGGTTTAGGGTTTAGGGTTTAAACGCCCTAAGTTCCCTAAACCCCATAAACCCGCCAGGCTAAATACCCAATAAACCTAATGTACCCTGAAGCCCACACCCCAACAACCCAAAACCCTAAATACCCAAATTGTAAACCAAACAAACCCTCAACCCTAAATACTCAATAAACCAAACAAACCCTAAATACCCGAATAAATCAAACAAACCCTACAAAAGCCCACCGTCAGAGCTGAAATCCTAAACCCTAAACCCCAAACCCTAAACCCCATATCCTAAACCCTACACCCCAAACCCTAAACCCTAAACCCTAAACCCTAAACCCTAAACCCTAAACCCTCACAAGGCCCCCTGTTCAACCAGGCTGTGCTGCGCCTGGCCTTTGTGCTGCACGCGGCGCTGAGTCGAGAGATCCAAGGTGGGTTTAGGGTTTCGGGTTTAGGGTTTGGGTTTAGGGTTTCGGGTTTGGGGTTTAGGGTTCAGGGTTTGGGGGGTTGGGGTTTAGTGTTAGTGGTTTGGGGGCTTTAGGGATTAGGGTTTGCGGTTTAGGGGTTTAGAGGCTTAGGGCCTAGTTTAGGGTGTATGGTTTAGGGTGTAGGGTTCAGGCTTGGTTTGGGGGCTTTAGGGTTTTTAGGGCTTCGGGCTGTTTGGGTTTTAGGGCTGCGGGGTTGCGGGGTGTTTCGGTTTTTGGCTTTTTGAGGGGGCGTACAAGGTCAGGGTATTCGGGCTTTACTTCAGTCTTGTAGGGCTGCAAGTAGGGCTGCAAGGGCTTTACAGTTTTAGGGTTTAACGGCTTCAAGGTTTTTACCCTAAACCCATTATAAACCCTAAACCCTAAACCCTAAACCGTGGCTGGGGGGGGGGGGGGGGGGGGGGGGGGGGGGGGTGTCAGGGTTTTGGAGCCCTAGAAGGGGTGGATTTAGCGGCTTAGGCTGATCG